GAGGTATCATTCGAAAGATAGCGTGATTACAACAGACGCTAGATCGTCTTAGAATTTTTCGCTGATCCAGAATATATATACTTTGTAGGGATATATATATTTCGAGGAATTACGGAACGGAATGATAAAATTAATATACCCTCCCTAGAAAGGTGGTGGAGGGTATAAAAAGAGGTTAATTTTTTGGTCCATAAGAACCCCTAAAACCTCAGTCAGTCAAAAACCGTCGCTGCCCGAATGTTGCTCTGCGGTATTTTGGCCCAATGCCGGCGAAGCGCTTGCTTGAGGTGATCGAAGCTTTGGTATTTTTTAGTGGCAACCACGCTTTCCAAAATACTTCAGACACAATAGTCCTACGGATTGGTATCCAGAGATTTTGGCGGCCATTGTGCGCTGGAAATGAAGCGAGGAACCTCATTTTGTAACTATTCTTGGGTGGCGCGTGCTGAGTGAGATGGTGCTGAGTCCTGTTGGAATGTCCAAGGTCTGTGGCCAAAATGTTTGCGTGCCCAAGGCTTTCTATACACCCTCCAGAATATTTTCGCGATAATATTCGGCATTTATTCTGATGCCACGGTCGATACGAGCAGAGAGCGACCAATGGCTGTTATGGCGGCCCACACCATCACCATGGCCGGGGCTTGAGTGCTGGTGGCCAACCGAAGGTGCACATTTTGGGTTGACCTCTTTGGCAAGTAAACACGATTATTTAGTTTGTTTACAAACTGCTGGACTACGAATGTGTTCTCATCGGAGAAAACCAAATTCGGCAGTTCACCACTTTTGGCCAAGCGAAGCAACCTCTTTTGCTCTTTTGAGTCTATTTTCTTTCTGTTGCGGTGTAAGTTTTTGCACTTTTTGGAATTTCAATGGCTTTACCCCGAGCTCATTTTTCAATATTTGCCGAATGGAATATTGCAATATGTTCAGCGCACGAGCCATTTCAGTTCGTCGGCCACTGCGACGCGGGTTTCGATCAAGTCGCTTCTTTACTTTTCGAACCATTTCTGCTGATGTTGCTGTTTTCTTCCAACCAATTCCTTGACGACGGGCTGCGCTACCAGTATCACGTTAACAAGCGATGGTACGAGACACAAAAGATTTATTCCCATTTAAATGCCGGAGTGCTCTAACGATAGCCACTTGTTGTTTTCCAGCCAAATATAAAGATATCACATTATCCTGCTTGAATTCTACCACGAATAACTTTTTTTTTGGAAGCCTCTCACCAAAATGCTTTTGAACGCTTGTAAACAATATAATGAGCTGTCACTGGATGAATTTTTACAGCTGTCGGACGAGTGGCTTAGAAATGACAGCAGTCTGAAGTTGGTTGCAGTTTTTTCATCTCACCCTGTATACAGTCATTGCAATAAGACAGACAGTTTACAGTTTATTATATTGGAAACTTAGTTGCCAAAATTGCCTAACCGTTTTATTTAATTTTCCATGATCTGATTAAGGTCTGGTCTGGTGGAGTAGTTCGCCAAAAATTGGCCTCTGATATCTGCAATGTTAGAGAAAATCCTCTATCGCTTCATCATCTTCCCCACATGCTGCCCTGCATATGCTGTTATCTGTACAGGGTTGTCCATATTCGACGGACCCATCTGGCAACGCCATAACTTTTGACAGAGATCGCTTAATGACTTACCACGTTTGAAGCGTCAGTCCAAGCAGATTTTTACCATGAACCAATACACGCCACGCGAGCGCTCTGAAATAGTTGAAATTTACATTCAACAGAAGAAGTCAATTGTAAAAACTCAACGTGCTCTTAAAACATTAAAAAATTTGAGAAGTGCGCCTTCTAAGAATACCATTAAGCGTTTATACGAAAAATTTTCGACTGGTAAGGCTCTTTCTAATCCGAAGAGGCCATATAAAAGTCGACCAAGGCGATCGACCGAGAATATTGCTGCCGTACGAGCCAGTGTTGAGAGGTCCCCAAGAACATTGCAAAAACGCCGTTCTCAGCAGTTGGGCATGGTTCGGTCCACTTGACAACGGATTATTCACATTGATTTGCATTTGTTCCCGTACAAAATTCAATTGACGCAAAGAATGTTGCCTGCGGACAAGCCTCGTCGATTGGAATGGGCCCAAAGAGTCATCATGGGTCCGTCGAATATGGGCAACCCTGTACATGCTATCGTTTACAAATGAGCTTGTTGGTCCCCACTAATAAAAGGATCTTCGTTTTAACCTCATTGGGATCTCCCCATAGGATTTTTTGGTTTTCTACACGTCTTCGTTGTTACATAGGGATATGTGGGCAGAAAATGTTCTAAAATCTGCTGATATGGAATACCAAAATTGCTTTATCCTAATGCCCGCAGTTCCTTAATTATCTAAGGAACTATAACTGATATATCGAGCCCTTTGTTGTTTCTAAAAATTGTTATGTTTCAAATTCCCTGAGAATATAACACGGACTCAAAAAAGGCACCCGTAACATTTCCCATTTAGGGTTGCAGGAGGTATGATGCGCCATCATTTCTTCACGAACATCTTGTGTTGCAAATGTTATCTTTCGTAACACCAATGATGTATTCATTTAATTATCGTATTTTCCCCGGAACTTCCCATATGCAGTAATTTGTCAAAAAAAAAAAAAAAAAAAAAAAAAAAAAAAAAACGCATCTATTAAATTTATATAAAAGAATTAAAGTAAAGAAGTGTTTTTTTTTTTTTTTCAGAGACGCCATTCTTATCTAAATGTGGGCAAGGTGCACGCGTACCCGCGTACGGCATCACTCCACATTTTTAAATTTTTGGCAAACAAGTCTAAATTATTATTGAATGCTTTTTTTTGATAACATGGTACTCGTGATCTAATAAAATTTATTATTTCACGTGTCTTGAAATTTGCAATTGTAGTTTAGATAGAGTTTCCTTTTTTTAAGGGTGAAAAAATAAGTTTTATTTTAGAGTTGATATGGTAATTTTAGGTTATTTCAAGGCTATCAATAAATAAGTGCGTTTGTTGGTGGCACGAGGTAATATTTATGGGCCTTTCGAAATTCGTTTCACAAAAAATATTTTTATATTTTCTTCCGCAAATAATATTGATGGCTCATCAAGTCATGTGAAAATGAAAACAATTTACCTAGTGAAAAGCTCTTCCAATTTCTGCCAGAATTTTCCATAACAACAGTTTTTTACATGTTTTGAAATCGATAACTCCAGGAAAAATCACCGAGGTCAAGCTTAATATTGAAAAGCATCGTATTCTATTATTATACACTCCACCTTGGAAAGGAGGGTATATTAACTTTATCATCCTGTTTGTAACATCCCTAAATATTCGTTACAGACCCCATAAAGTATATATATTTACATAATCAGCATGAAATTCTAAGTCGATTTAACGATGTCCGTCTGTTTGTTGAAATCACGATATAGCCCACATTATTTGGTGTAGAGCTTCAAAATTTGACAGAACAATTTTTATTGTGTCTAGAATGTTTGATATTGAAAATGAGATATATCGGTTGACGTTTTGATATAGTCCCCATATAACGGTATCTCCCGATATTCGGTATGTGGATGATTTTTCCACGGATTTGTCTAAAAATTGATACTTGTAGGTCATAATACATAGGCTCTAGCTCGTGCGAGAAAACATTTTGTGTATAGTTCCATGATTTTGTATAGCTCCCATATAACGGTACCTTCCGATATTCAGTATTTTTATGATTTTTGCCACATTTTTCAATGGATTTGTCTAAACATTGTTATTTGTAGTTCGTAATGGGTTCTAGATTCGGTGGCGGATCATAGTATATATTGGTCAACGTTTTGTCATAGCTTCCATATAACGGTACCTTCCGATATTCAGTATTTTTAATGATTTTTGCCACATTTTTCAATGGTTTTATCTAAAAATACTTGTAGGTCATAATAGGTTCCAGTTCGTGTGGCGCAACATCGTATGTATAGGTCCATGTTTTGGTATAGCCCCATTAACACTACCTCCCGATATTCGGTATTTTGATGATTTTTGCCACTTTTTTTTCACGGATTTGTCCGAAAATTGGTATTTGTAGTTCGTAATGGGTTCTAGATTCGGTGGCGGATCATAGTATATATGGGACAACGTTTTGTTATAGCCACCATATAATGATATCTTCCGATATTCGATATTTTGATGATTTTTGCCACATATTTTAACGGATTTGCCTAGAAATTGGTATTTCTTGTTCGTAATGGGTTCTAGTTCGTGTGGCGAAACATTGTATGGATAGGTCCATGTTTTGGTATAGCCCCATATAACACTACCTCCTGATATTCGGTATTTCGATGAGTTTTGTTAAATTTTTTCACGGATTTGTATAAAATTTGGTATTTGTAGTTGATAATGGGTTCTAGCTCCGGTAGCAGAACATTGTGTATTTAATTCCACGTTTTCCACCGATATTCGGTATTTTAATAATCCTAGTCAAATTTATCCTCCAAATTGTTTAAAATTTGGTATTTTAAAATATTTGGTAGATGACAATCCTTGAAGTATAAAATTTTCTATGGAGGTTCCCATTTTAGTATGGCCCCCATATAACGGCCTAACCCACTTTATCTTTTTTTTTTAAATTAACAGCATTATCCAAATGGTCTCACTGGTATTTGTAGTTTAAAGTGGAACACGATATATACGATTCAAATATTTTTATAAAAAAAATTCTGTACCCAATGGCGGAGGGAGGGTATTAAAAGTTTGGTCCGGCCGAACTTACTGTTTGTTACTTGTTTTTGTTAAGAATTTCCTTTTCCAGTTTATAAAATAAATTGCCTCCAACTTTACATTCCCATCCCTGATCACCCATCCACTTTTCCCCATCTCCCCAATGCAAACATAAATCATACATCCCTACATACCTGCATTCACAATTTTTTTTTTTAATTTTAACACCAAACAAAAACTAATTAATTACAATTCGATCAATTTACAAAACAAAAAAACAAATCATGTGCAATCAACGAAAAACGATTCACCACACCAGATCAAAAAGGCCAGCCAAGCGATTACCCTTTCTCAGTGATGATAATACCGATTCGGAAGATGAAGATTTCTGTACCGATGACTCTGATGATGAGTACAGCAGTGGTGGCCATGGTAAAGCGAGGCGTGGTAAACCCAGACGTATCCTATCCATGCAACCGCACAAGGGAAAACCATCACAGCAAAATTCCGCATTATCCTCGTCGTCGTCATCATCGTCGCCACCCTCCAAGGGTTCATATCATCACTATCACAATAACAGTTCGCATCAATATAATCAATATCATCATGGCATGCATGGCATTAAACGCAAGAAAATTGAGACAATCGCGCCGGTGGATTTGGATAATGACGATGCTTGCAGTGAGGATGCTTTCATAAGGAAAATTGCCAGTGCCAATGGTAATGCAAGTGCCGGCAGCGATCAAGGACAGCCGACAATAACCACCACGAGCAATGTAAGCCACATTGTTGTGCAGAAAGTCCAAAGGGCCAATCATGTTGCAGCACCCTCAAAGTAAGATTTTTTTAAAAACAAACAAAAAACTATGATCTACAAGTACTTCCCTTAAAACTGAATTTCCAAATTTTGAAAAAAAAATAACTTCTTTAAAGTAATTCTCATATTTCTCCCCCTTTTAAACTAACATTTTTTATTTTTTTTTGGCTTTGCCTTTTGCTTGCTTGGCTACTAAACACAACTTTTTCCATTTTTCACACACACACACCCATCCACCCACACAACATCTCACACTCACTCTCTCACTCACACACACACCCACAACTCATTTTTCATTCAGTGTAAATTAACTTTTTCCATTCCCCACCCCCCCCCCCCCCCACCTCATCATCCTCTCATCTAAAAGCACTGTTTTTAAATTCGAACATTTTTCTTTACAGATTTATTGCCAACGGTTCACGGGGTCTAACCCGGGTCGCCCATAAACGTCAACCTGCCACACCACCCAACAGCGTTGCCACCTCATCGGATGGTCGTGTACAGCTGGAAATTGTTTCCCAACCCGAGCAGCAGCACAGGGCCAGGTAAGCATAAATAGATGTAGATTTTTTTCCTAAAAGACAAAATGTCTTCAGATGGCCAGAACTCCTCTGTAGGGTTCTCGACAAGAGTCACTATTGCAAGTCATGTTGGAATCCTCCACCGTGGCTAGGTGAATATTAGCAGATTTTTCATCTTCAATTCAATGGCCAATTATTCAACTGGGATACTTTCTTACAGGCGAAGAACGAATCTCTCTTCAAGAACGTTGAATATTCAGCTTTTTTGACTCCGCTCTACTAGGTCACACCAGAGCTTGATCTCCGGGTGACCATTAAAAATGAAGACATTGGGACAAAGTGAAGAAGTTTTTCAGACTTCATTCTCTCTCGCCTTCAAAATTTGTCGTTCAGGCAATCATTTCATGCGAGATTTGGCGAATACCAAAATATCCATTTGTAGTTTCAACTACCTTGCACTTGTGAACCTTTCCGATGGCATAAACTTTGCTTTATCAAAGATCAAAAGCAATATCTTTCAAAATTTCTCTAATCGATTGTCCATCTGTCAGATATATAAGGATTTAGATGATACACAATCTCTAGTTAACTGTTCTGACCCCCTCTGCTAAGTCATACAGCAGTCTGTGCTGCTGACATCCATTAAAAGTGAAGCCTTATCGGCTGTCAAATTTACTATCGTATAGAGGCTCTCGTCGCAGTCGCCATTTTTTCTTCGTGGAACCAGGGTTCGCAACCAAGAACTCAACAATTTCAGGGGAGATAACACAAATCCATTTCAACTAACCCTATCCTATACATATGGATAGGGATTTCCAAATGTAAGCCTTTCCTTTCGGCTACCATATTTGCCATCGCATGGGGGAAATTGTTACAGGTTTTCCATTATTCTTGCCTCGTTGCTCCAGGAAACCATCAAACCTATATCCGTTGGGACTTAACTATCTGTCCACTGCAAACCTTTCCGATAGTAATTAGTTATTCTTCCCAAAAAAAAAAAAAAAACGGATTTTTTAAAAATTCCAATTACCGGAGGTATTATTAGTCAAAGATATATCAAGCCATGATATATCCTTCCCCGCTTATTATTCTAATCCCAATTACATGGCTAGGGTCTCGTTAGATAGTAGACTAATAGTACGTTAGATAGTAGTTTAAACGAGAGTCCATCTGCAGCTAACTGTTCTGACTCTACTATGCAGCACAAGCTCGGCCTCCGTGTCGGCCTCTTCGAATCGAATACCTCACCAGAACTCGAAGATTTAAACTGAGATTCCCAATATATTCCCAGCTAAACAATATATGTATTGAGTTTTCCAATAACTCCCTCCAATGGATTTTTTCGATATGCTTCCCCAAACAGCTTCCTGAATTGGGAAAAAATATATTTCATATGTCGGTTACCAATGAAAATCCGCTTACACGGGTTTTCACATAATTGATTCATACCATACCTTCCAAAAACTGCAAATTCCTTTTGATTTTCGGATAGCAAAGAAAGTTATCCGGTCATCGGTGGGAATGATCCTACCAGATAGAGGATGAAGTAAATATAAGGTATTTTCCCCCTTGCGGCTCTTAAACCTCTTAATCACATCTTTCCATTAACCCATTATACCGGCTCCAATCAACTCCCAAAACATCATCTATTTTTATTCTCGTCCTGGTCAGAAAGGACATAAGACATATTTTTTGGCATTAAAATTAAGAGAGAATGAAAAAGATCTGAAGTACAACAGTTAAAAAAAGAATAGAAACCCTGCCATAGTACCGTCCTGAAAAGTCATTTGTGAGACACATTTTAGCATTGAAATTAATGAAAGAATGAGAGAGATCTGAAGCAGTACAATAGTTAAAAAATGACAGAAGCCCTGCCATAGTACCTCCTTAGGACACTACAAAACCATTTGCGTGATGATTCATGGACTACAGAGAATGATGTCAAACCTTTATATGATTTGGTACTATCATCTGATGTATCTGATTTGGTTCCCAAAACCGAGTACTTGAGGAGAAATATTGAAGAATCGTAGCAGAAACATGCCAATCGACATGTGCTAGGCCAGTGGTTTCAGTCCAGCCATATTTAGTACAGTGCAGCACCCTAAACTCGCCTAAGGTTCCAACATAGGTCTTGGTACCCAAAATCCCTCCAAATCCTCTCACCAGTCCCTCCTGATTAATTTTGAAGTTAGCCAGTTCCACTTGTAACTGATGGCCAAAATTGCCTTCAAATGTACCAGAAACGTCTTTAGGACGGGTCGAATTAAAATTTGATTGATTTGTTTTCATCCGCAGTTTACCAACAAAAAAGGCCAATTATGCCTACTCACTGCTCTCCTGATAATTTTGGAGACAATCAGTTTGAATTGCAGCCTCGCAGAATTTTAAAAATGAAAAATCTTGTTTCGAAGACTGTGGTGGAAATTGTTGTTCAAAATCGCCATCAAATGAACCAGAAACGAGGAACTCCTGTTTCCCAAGACTTAAGGGTGGTACAAATGAAAATTGGTTGGTTTCGATATCTTCTAGAGCTCATCAACCTACATCTTTATTCTATGCTAACCTTTTTTACTGGACTTTCCAGTTTTGACATAGAAATGGGTAAAATTTTAAGTTCCCAGGCTCTAAAAAGCGTTCTTCTGTGCTTTTATAGAAGATGCCTTTTTACCAGACAATGTATTGAACTTCGCTACCATGAGTCAAAAAAACTACATATTTTCTTGCAATTCTATTCTAGGTTTTTTTCACGTCTTCTTATAGCCCCCATATAACGTTACCTCCATATATTCGGTATTTTGATCAGGTTGTATAGACCTAAATATAAGGGCTAAATTCGGTATTTTTAAGATTTTAACAGAATTTTAAACAGATTTTATTTTTTTGAAAATTGCCAAATTCGATCCAAATGGTGTGGAGGATATTCAAAGATCGGCCCGGCTGATCCACCACTTACATAGATTTAGCTTACACTTTAAGACCGCAACCCATAAAAGTATCTTTAGGTCCTTCAAAGAACATATCCTACAATAAAATACGAAACTTAACTACCAGAGGAAATTTATCTACCTTTCTCCCAAATCTATTTTTTATTTACGACCCTTTTCTATTTTATTTGGAATTGTTTGTAATATTCCTCCGGCTCACACTCCCCTACGTTCGTTCCTTTCCTATAAACCGAGCAAATTTGTACAGTATTTTCCATTAATAATATTTGACATTAATAACTTATATTTTAGTTTCCCGGTCTCTAAAAAGTGTTTAACTCTTAACCGCTCAAAATATGAAACCAATTTAGAAGAGGACTTTTTTTCTCCCAAACCCATTTTTTGTGCAATTTGATGGACAGTTTTCAATTGTATAATTTTTTTTTTTTCTTTGCCCTTACCAGATATCAAACCGAAGGCAGTCGCGGTGCCGTCAAGGATCGCAGCGGCAACGGATTCCCCATTGTTCGTTTGGGCGGCTATAGCAAGCCGACAACACTGCAAGTATTCATTGGTACCGATATCGGACGTGTTGCACCGCACATGTTCTATCAGGCCTGCAAGGTGGCTGGCAAAAATTCAACACAGTGCAATGAGAAGAAGGTCGACGGGACCGTAGTCATAGAAATAGAATTCAAGCCAGAGCAAGATATGACCATTACCTGTGATTGTGTTGGTATACTAAAGGTTAGTAAAAATCCTAAAGATGGCACATAAAAGAGTTGTTTTAAAAGAAACTTGGATTCATGGAAGAAGGAGCAATTGATTGCATATTGACCTCCCAAATCTAATTTATATTCATAAAAATATTCTGTGTGAGGTTTTGGCATAAAAACACATAATAGAAGATACACTTTAAATAATTTTAAATTTAGGAACTCACTTCTCAATTCTATGAAGAGTCTAAACAAGCAATCCATTCCTTATTCCTATTTTATAAATCCCAGTTTCTTTTCAACGGAATTTGTATATGACATGTAAAAAAATTGTATTGTATTGTATTGTATTTATTAATTTCTATTTTACTTAACATGAATTTATTTTCTCTTCCCTCAGGAACGCAATGTCGATGTTGAACATCGTTTTCCCGAACATCTTGCCCAAAAGAATAAAAAGAAATCAACCCGCTGCCGCATGGTATTTCGTACCCAGTTAACCCATGACGATGGTACCGTCGAAACACTACAAGTCTGTTCGAACCCCATTATATGCAGTAAGTACAGTCATACATATTTTGTTATTTTATTTAAATATATAACATATAACATTTTTCCTTTGCAGCCCAACCACCAGGTGTCCCGGAGATCTGTAAAAAATCTCTCAACTCTTGCCCCGTCGATGGTGGTCTCGAATTATTTATAATTGGTAAAAATTTCCTCAAGGATACACATGTAATATTTCAAGAGACTTATGAAACAAATATGCCCACCAAAGATGAGTCAGGCTCAACGGATTTAAGTGCAATGCATCATCAGCCATTGATTGGTGCACTGTGGGAACAGACTGTTATACCCGATAAGGAATATCTGCAACAGGTGGGTATTTGAAAAAAAAACTACTGAATTCAAAGATACAATTAAGGGCCTTTCCTTTATGGCGATTGAAAAGTTTAATAAACTGCATTTCTATATATTTATGATCCAAAAAGAAAGTTTACATCGCAAAAAAAACTACACCCAAAAACAAATTTACTTTGGGATAGAGCTGTAAATGTTTTGAATGGATTTAAAGTGAAAATTGCTCCCAGAGGCTTATTTGGAATTCAAAGATTCAAATTATAAGTTTAAGGGCTTTTTATACCCTACACCACAAGGTGGTCAGGGTATTATGTCTTTGTGCATTTGTTTGTAACAGGCAAAAGGAAACGAGATAGACCCATAGTTCCTTTTGATGATCTGCATAGAATCACATTCTGAGTCGATTTATGCATGTCCGTCCGTCTGTCCATGTATTTTTGTAAACAAAGTACAGGTCGCATTTATTGCCCGATCCAGATGAAATTTTGCACAGATCATTTGTTTGGCCCAAGGACGAACCCTATTGAAATTGGAGAAAATCGGTCAAAATTTAGATATAGCTCCCACATATATCTTCGTCCGATTTGCCTTCTATTGTGCATCAAACGTGTAATATCAGTCCGAATTGTATGGAATTTTGCATATACACCCAAATTATGCCTGAAAATAAGTATGCCAAGTTTGATCGAAATCGGTTCAGATATAGCTATTGCTCCCATATATATTGTTCATCCGATTTGCTATTTTAGTCCTCCGCAGCCGTAATATGCACTCTGCAACAACAATATTTGGGGAAATATATCGAAAACATCTCAGAAATACATTTGCTAAATTTTATCGAGATCGGTTCAGATTTGGTTATAGCTCCCATATATAACTTCGTCCGATTTACCTTTTATGGTACACCAAACGTCTAATATTTGTCCAAATGGGATGGAATTTGGCACATGCGACCGAATTGAGTATAGAAGCTAGTATGCCAAATTTGGTGAAGATCGGTTCAGATATAGCTATAGCTCCCATACATATTGTTCATCCGATTTCTTGTATTTGTTACCCACAGCCGTAATATGCACTCCGTTACAACGATATTCAGGGAAATATATTAAATACAGCTCAGAAATATCTTTTCCAAATTTTATCGCGATCGGTTCAGATTTGTATATAGCTCCAATATATATTTTTATCCGATTTCAAATTAATTGTGCACCAAATGGGAAACACAAGTCCGAATTTAAAAGATACAAATGCTTCGGCATATTTAGTCCTTTGAACTTTAAATTATAATTATAATCATAGCTTGTATGATTGAATTCTCCCATAAAAACTTTTAATTGTTATGCGGAGCTCTACTAAATTAGCAAAGTGGTGTAGGGTATCATAAAGTTGGTCCCGTCCGACTTTAAGACTTTCTTTACTGGTTTCTTGATGACGATTGAAAAATCTAGTAAACTTCATTTCTATATATTTATGATCCAAAAAGGAAGTTTACATCGCAAGATAACCTAAAGGGAGGGCGCAAGTTCCTCCTCTTTCATGCAATTGGAAATTCTCCGATTAAGATTCCCTGGAATCCGCACATTTGAGCTAAATAGTTGTGTTCGTCAATATTGCAGATAAAATAGGTCTTTTTGATCCCTTTAAAAAAATATGTCTAAAATTCCCTCAAAACGAGAGGGGTTGTAGCTAGTCAAAATATGCTAAAAATTTATTCGTCATAAAATTCTGCTATAGATCCAGGTATTCATATACAGGGTGAGATGAAAAACTGCAACAAAGTCAAAAGCCATAATTTTTAATTTTTTTTTTTTTAATTTTATTGAATGAAAGCAAAAACTGTCTGAAATAGCATCAAATTTTAGAATAAGATTATATTTGGTCACCTTTTGCACGAATTATGGCCTTCAAACGGCCAATGAAACCGTCACGCGCTGCCCGAATGTTGCTCTGCGGTATTTTGCTCATTCCCGGCGAAACGAGTACCTGAGATGATCGACACTTTGGTATTTTTTAGTGCCAACCTTTCTTTCCAAAATACTCCAGACACAATAGTCTAACGGATTGGTATCCGGAGATTTTGGTGGCCATTGTGCGCTGGAAATTAAGCGAGGAACCTCATTTTGTAACCATTGTTTGGTGGCACCTGTTGAGTGCGACGGTGCTGAGTCCAGTTGGAATGTGCAAGGTCTGTGGCCAAAATGTTTGCGTGCCCATGGCCTTAATACATCTTTCAGAATATTTTCTCGATAACATTCGGCATTTATTCCCACGCCACGGTCGATTAATACCAGTGGAGAGGGACCATTGGCTGTTATGGCGGCCGCCATGGCCGGCGCTTGAGTTCTGGTGGCCAATCGAATGTGCACATTTTCAGCTGACCTCTTTGGCAGAGTAAACACGACCATTTTGTTTGTTTTCAAACTGCTGGACAACGTATGTTTTCTCATCGAAGAAAACGAAATTCGGCAGTTCACCACTTTCGGCCAAGCGAAGCAACTCTTTAGCTCTTTTGAGTCTATTTTCTTTCTGTTGCGGTGTAAGTTCTTGCACTTTTTGGAATTTCGATGGCTTCATCCTGAGCTCATTTTTCGATATTTGCCGAATGGAATATTGCAATATGTTCAGCTCATGAGCCATTTTTCGGCCACTGCGACGCGAGTTTCGATCAAGTAGTACTTTTCGAACCATTTCTGCTGATGTTGCTGTTTTCTTCCGTCCACTAACTTGACGTCGGGCTACGCTGCGAGGATCACATTTAAATGCTGGAGTGCTCTAACAATACCCACTTGTGGTTTTCCAGCCAAATATAAAGATATCACACCATCACGCTTGAAGACCATCACGAATATTTTTTTTCTGGAAAATTCTCACCTAAATACTTTTGTACGCTGGTACATAATATAATGAGCTGTCACTGGATGAATTTTAACAGCTGTCGGATGAGTGGCTTGGAAATGACAGCAGTCTGAAGTTGTTTGCGTTTCTTCATCTATCACCCTGTATTTCGCAACATTTAAAATAGAGCTTTGAAATTTTATAGAGATATTTGTTTTACATTCTGAGTTATTGGTGAAGAAGATGGGGCATATCGTCCACTTTTTGGAATAAAAAAATAACTCCGATTTCAAGTTTCTTTTTTACGTTTTGCGTTGTAAACTTTCAAAACGCCGTTACGCGTGTATTCTTAAGCTCTCCTTTTGTAATCTGCTGGACTGTTTCAATAATTATTTTTTGTGTTGCACAGTGAAATAGCTTCAGGGAAATAGCTTCTAGAGTCTTTGAAAATATGTCACATAAATATCGAACATTGGAGTTCCCAGATGCCTAATAATGCTCCCAAAAATTACAATTTAATAATTCTTATATATTCTCCTCCAAAATTATTGTTTCCATTTTTATTAATTTTATTCCAATTTTCTAATTTCTTTTCTTCCTCTCCCATAGACCCATTTAATCTGTACCGTGCCACCGTATATACATCAGAATATCATGAAACCCGTTACCGTACAGGTGGCGATAATATCGAGTGGTAAAAAAAGTGAATCACATACATTTGTCTATACGCCAAAGGGCACCTATACGCCCCTGGCAGCGGCCACAACACTAAGTACAACGGCCACACCACAGGCATTACTAAATGCAAATGGAACACACAACAACGTCGTTGGCAATGCCGTCGTCAATGGTGGCGCCAATGGTACCTCCAACGGAGCAGCTGGTGGAGTCAACAATAGTAACAATAGCAACACTAGCTTATCATCGGCACAAGGTATTTTAATTTGTTTATAATAATTTTATATACATATTGTATAATAAGTGACAACAACAATCACCACCAGCACTATGATACTATGTATGAACGAACGAACATATGTATGTACGTACTTACAAAAAAAAAAAAAAAAAAAAAAATATTTGCACGATGACGTCGAATTATTTTCGTTGTTGCTGCTACTATTTTCATTATCTAGAACGAAAATCAAATCAAAATGTAATCTATTCAGCATTCAGCGTGTAATCTTCTCGTTTTGTTACAAAATTTCATTAGTGTTTTGTCGCTAATTTGTAACGAAACTATTTAAACATTTTGCGGACACTATTGCTGCCTAAAAGCATGCTTGCTTTTTTTTTTCAACAACAATTTCCCTTTGCTACTGAAAAGGAATACTTCACCCCCAATGAGTTTCCTTCTTAATATTTTTCCCTCCTTAGCGGTTTATAGCAAGCAAGTAAAAAAAAAAACAAAAGTTGTTCTAAAAACTATAACAATTAACGGCAATAACAATTAGCGGCAATATTTTCGAATTGTATTAGCAATGATCTAACCAGAAATTAAACACCACTTAATTGCGAAAATCTATAAGAGCTTTTTTCTCCATTGCAATGAATGCATTTCAAAACCTTCACCAGATACAACTTGTTTGTACTGCCAGCCCAGCTTCAACTCTCACTATCAATATCAGCAACAACTCATCTACAACAACAGAACAACCAATAATTATATATATATACAAAATTAAATATATAATAGGCATAACTTTGAAACAACTGCTGGAATCCCGTTTTCGTTTTCATTTCGAATAATAATAATTTACATTATCATATGTCGATTATTTTTTTTTTACTTTACATCATCATCCTCAACCGCAACAACCGCAAGATGAAGAACAAAGTGTGAAATCTCAAGCAAAATTTGCAAACAAAGTGTATGAAAAGAATGAAAAAAAAAGAAAAATACTACAATTGAAAGAAAGAAAAAAAAACCAAGCCATCACAAAATAATATTGGTCTATAAATAATTTGTTATTATTGATAATTTTTAATTGATTTTTTAGTTTTATTATTATTTTCTTTTAACTGTGAACAAAGAAAAAAAACTAAATTTTAATCTAAATTTATTAAAAAACACTCATCGTCGTATTGCAGATCAACTATATATTGCCTCAATGTAAAATCGAAAGTTGTAATTATAAGTTATTTATAAGTAAATATCTATATGTACAGTTAAATATGGCTATAAGAAACTATATTACACAACGATACTATCAGTGAATTATATCCTTTCATTACTTTTTCTAAAAAAAAAATATCGTTTAGAAATTGTGTAGAGTTTGTTATAACCGGTTTGACTCTATATTAGAAATTGTGATATTTTTGGAAGGAATGTCATTCTATACAAAAAAAAATAGTGAACACTTTTTTAAAGGGGTTCGAAATTGTACTAGTTTTACAATCTTCCACTTGAACACCGTTCTGGTACATGAAGACCTACTAAAAATTTTAGGCAAAACAAAGAGAGCACACACAAAAATGTAACGTTCTATTTTACTGCTTTTCACAAGCATACTAATTGTAGCTTTCTTGCCAGCGTTTGATTAGCTGAAATATTTATATTAAAGGATTAGCATTTTTCCTAGTTTTCCGTTTCCGAACATTCTTTTAGGGCGAATGTTACATTTCTCATTTTTACCATTAACTGAATTACGGGAACACAACAAACCAATTGTAACCATGTATTCTGCGATATCTATATCTCTCTATATATTTTTATACCCTCCACCTTGGTAAGGAGGGTATATTAACTTTGTCATTCCGTTTGTAACATCCTTAAATATTCGTCGTATATATATTCATAATAAGCATAAAATTCTAAGTCGATTTAACGATGTCCGTCTGTCTGTCTGTCCGTCTCTCTGTCTGTCTGTCTGTTGAAATCACGATACAGCCCAGAGTATTTGACGTAGAGCGCCAAAATTTTTCAGAGCAATTCGCATTGTGTCTAGGATGGTTGGTATTGAAAATGAGATATATCGGTCCACGTTCTGGTATAGTTCCCATATAACGGTACCTCCCGATATTCGGTAATTTGATGATTTTTGCCACATTTTTTCACGGATTTGTCTGAAAATTGGTATTTGTTGGTCATAATGGGTTCCAGCTCCGGTGGCGAAACATTGCATGCATGGGTCCATGATTTGATATAGCCCCCATATAACGGTACCTCCCATTATTCGGTATTTTGATGATTTATGCCACATTTTTTCACGGATTTGTTTGAAAATTGGTATTTGTAGGTCATAACGGGTCCCTGTGCGTGCGGCAAAACATTGCATGTATAGGTCCAAGTTTTGGTATAGCCCCCATATAACGGTACCTCCCGATATTCGGTATTTTGATGGTTTTTGCCACATTTTCACTGATTTGTCTAAAAATTTTTATTTGTTGATTATAATGGGTCCTAGTTCGTGTGGCGAAACATTGTAGGTCCACGTTTTGGTGTAGCCCCCATATAACGGTATTCATTGTTCCAGGGGTACAATAAAACAGGGGTTGTCAAATTTTTTTGTGATTATTCGTTTACTGGCCTCTTCCACTTTTATCACGTGGCCAATTCCTCAAGATTTCCCCCAAGAGATTGTTTTGACAAAATATTGTTGGAATAAGAGGAATTTCGAAAATAATTTGTAAAAAAAATAATTTATTTTATATTTTTAATGTCAAAAAAAGTATGTCTTTGAAAAAGTTGTCAATAGGGATATCCGAGGACCCATGGCCTACATGGCAGTTAAGCCCATCTGACAACCAAGTTTGCCATCAAAATACATATTGTGATTTGAAATTTAAAGATAGTTAAATTACAATAGCGCAAAAACTACTAAGTATTCTGTCAAATCGTTGTAAAAGGTATTTTTCTTGGTCGACCTTGTGTAGGCCTTGCTAGGACCCGGAATAACATATTTAATAAGGTCACACAGGAGGTGTATGTAGGCCTTAGTCTTCTTTTGCTACCAAATGTTTATTTTTGCAGATGAAATGCATCGAAATGCAAAGAAACACAAAACATTTTTTCCCTCTTGGACGTTGTAGACATATTTTTGTCAAAAATTAAAGCCCACTTTTAGGATGAAACAAAAAATGACTTCAATAATCTTAAAAACAATTTATCAGCCAGGATTGAGAGATCTTTTCTATGTGAAGAACCCATTGAGGGGTTTGTATAGTCAAAAGTTATTTTTTGGCTTTTCCTGTGTATAGTACACCTATCGAAAGATATTTTGTAGGTAGGAAACGGGTAGAGGGACCTTCTCAGAAACCCGCCTAAGAGATTAAGAATAACAACCCAATTTTTTGTTTCATTTACTTTTTCGTGGATTGAAAGTAAATGAAACAGCGAAGCCTCACGTGATGAATGGGTATTTACCAGTGAGGAAAACTCCAAAATAAATAGATTTTAGTATCTTAGCTCGTATCCAAAGTATACCTAGATCCCACCAACAATATATTTCTAATTTTCCATAGATTTCCCAGAGTCCAAAAACAAAGCCGTTAAATGTGTATGTACCTGAAATAACCATTGTATCATTGATTTTCTATTTGAAGATTAATGTCGGTGTTTCCCATATATTGAAAGTCAGACCTTTTTTCTCGTCGATCAAAATTATTGAAAAATTCTTTTTGACAGGAATGCATGGAAAGACTCAGTCTCCGCTTATCCATGTTTTATCGTCCAACAATTAAAAAAGAAAATATTTTTATAAGTTTATTTATTATTCAATATGAGGATTTAAATTTAATATTTTTTTATATAGTATCAATAATTTAGACCTCCATTCGTTTTACTTTCAATACAAATTTCCCGTTGGCCGCTTACTACCACCATTACTGGATTTGCGTGTCGAGGATCTGCTAACAATTTGCATTTTTAACATATCAGCATGACATTTAGAGGCAATCACTGCGGCAGTCAAAGCGGCACCACGTCCAGAACCATCTTCCGAGAGCATTAATTTGAATTTATGTTCCGGTCTTACAAGCTGAGATACTCTCTGCGACATAAGGCAATTGTATGGAGGAAACTGATGACACAATGTTCCATCAATAGCTATCATTGTATAAGGATCCCCCACACGATCAATTAAACAGGCAATAATGGCAGCCAATAGATCTGCTGAACGCTTCATAACAACATGGCATATGAAGCACGTTTGTTCACAATCAAAATCGCTGGGATTTTTATAGCCCAGTTTTTCAAGTATTTCACGAATGATGTCGTAGCTTTCATGATTTTCATTTTCAATTAAGAAAATATATTCACTTTTGAATGAAGCCTCCTGCCGCAGTTGTTCACTGACATTTCCCTTGAAAAGTAGTTCGGCATTAATGCAATCCATTAGTATCAAACGTACTAATTCACCAAAATGTTTATCAATTAGCAACTTTTCAAATACATTTTCCTTGGGGTTTTCCGATCCTTCATCAATATCTTTGTCATATTTGCTTTGCAAGAAATCCAATTTTCCATTATCACCCAATAGACCCCACACACAATTGATTAGCATGGTAGGTGTGGTATTACCTTTTGGGTTTTCATAAATTGACATATTTGTCAACTTTTCCATGTAGCAAGCCTTACAACTCGCTGGGGCCACATTTAAACCTATTTTGCAACTACGATCTTGCCACGCTCCATTCATTAGAGTACCAATGGGATCTTTGACAAGAATCAAAATTTGTATTTTAACATCATCACGACGTTCCAGGGCATCACGCAACATTTGTATGATATCACGACCCACCACATCAGGACAGTCGATACCCCCCTGCCAGGACACAAGTTCCGCCTTGTTGATGGCCGTTTGCTTGACCTCAAATCCAAAATTCAATGCCAATGGCAAACTCTCATCCCCACCATTCACCTGGAAGGTTTTTACAAATGTTGACAAGGATTCGGCCAGGAAATCAAATAAATCTCCTCCTAGACCTGTTAGT